CTCCCCCCGGAGAGGGGGGGTGCTCACCCGACCAAGTCCCCCTCGGAACGAAATCTTGGCTACGTGCCGGGGGGGGGGGAGGGGTGTTATACCCCTGCGGCTCCAACAATGAGTGGTGGGTGCCTCGAGCGTCCCCATAGAATAGAAGTGATGGAAGCTTTTCTTACCTTATTATGTTGTTCCTGTTGGGCGAGAAGTCGGTCGCGGAACATCTGGAGTTGGAGGATCATGTCGGTGAGCTCCTTCTCGAGGTGGGTGGCGTCGGAGCCGGCGTTGGCCTGGAGCTGGAGCAGCATCGCGGCCGGGTCCATCCCCGTCGACCCCGCTCCGCCCCCCACCCCCACCGACCCCGCGTCCTGCTCCTCGTTGCACCCACTTTCCCCGGAATGTTGATTCGCACTGAAACAGAGGAAAACCACGCAAAAAGTCAGATCACAGCACTTTTTGACGAAATTGAAATTTTTCGGCCGTACACTGGAAAAAAAAAACACATTGGATCTAGAGTCCAGACTCTTGAAAACATTGACAAGAAAAAGGACTCTTGATTCAATCAGATTTAAGCTTAAATCAAAACGAACTCTGGTCAAATTAAGAGGCTTGGTTCTTGATTTAAGCTTAAATCTGATTGAATCAAGAGTATTTTTTCCTGTCGATGTTTTTCAGAGTCTGGACTCTAGATCCAATGTGTTTTTCTTCCCAGTGCATTAAAAATATAGAAAAATATAAAAGACCCAATTTTTATAAGCCTAGAACGAGTAATTACTCTAACAGAAGTTCTAATTGGACTGAGCTAAGCAGAAAGGAACCAACCCACATTTTGGAAAAAAATTGAGTTATGAGTGGTATTAAACTCAACCACTGCTCTACTATCTATCGCCAAAAATTCAAAGTTTTTGTTGGAGCAAATTTTGCAGAAATTGAACTTGAAGTTTATCTTTTACATTGAGTCTTACGCAGGAGCCAAACTTTAAACCTCTTTTCCTCGGTTCGATCCCGATGTGGCTTGGTTCCTTTCTGTTTAACTCCGTCCAATTAATCCTCTTCAAACACCAACATCAAAATATAAAACACCAATATCCTTGTGATTAGTTGAAAAAGCTCAAACTTTCATATTTTACTAATACTTCAATAATAACTAGTGAAAATTAATATATAGGGTGAGCCAGGGTTAAACGGCCAGACTACCAGAAGCGTGTTCTATGGGTCAAAATAAGAATTTTTTGCTGTAAATTGAGGTTTCGATTTTTTTCAGATCAGTTATGAATTCAGGACATAAATAAACGTGGAGGAAAGTACACATTTTCATAGTATTTGGTTCACAACCGTTGCCAAAATTCAGAGAAAACCGTTTACTCTCCGATTTTTTTTTGGGGGGGGGGGCGTAGTTCCGACTAGGGGGAACTCTCGGAAAAAACTAATATACAACAAAAAAATCTTATTTTGACCCATATAGAACACGTTCCTGCAGTCTGGCCGTTTAATTCTGGATCACCCTGTAGAACGACTCAGTTGCGCAGGTCTTAGAATTGGACGTGTTTATGCTAAAAGGATATACGTGCATAGGGATTGCGTGTGACATAGTTCCTTTTAGCATGAATACGTCCAATTCATCGTCTCCCGGACGAAGAAACGTATCTCCACTCCAAAGTTATGAAATTGACTGAAAGAATAAGTTTTTTTACAAGGAAGCTCTTGTGCAATTTTTGTCCAAATTTTTTTCTGATTTTTGCATGAGATCAGGGGGAAATCAATGAAGTTTTCTAAAGTAACTATCTAGAAATTTGGTATTAGAAAAATCAAAATGTCAGGGGGATCGGTCATGGATCAGGAAATTCCGAGTACGTCAAACATTTTTCAACCATACTATCCTAAATTTCAACGCTCAAATGATTTGGTGCATGTGATTTCGCTCTATCTCTGAAAAGCCTCTATGCAATATTTCCACGGGACTGCAGAGGAGAGAGAATGAGCGAGAGCATATCGCCACGAACAATTTAGTCATCGCTATAAGCTACATATTATAAATTAAATTCGCAGGTTATCAGGCGAGAAAGAAGAATAACTCATTATCCGGTTATCTTAATTTCTCTGAACTACTTGTCTGGCTTTTTCTTTTTCCTCTTTCCTCACGCATCTCCCCCCGGGTTTTTCACATTTATTTGTGAACAATTTATTGTTGTAATTAGTGTCTTCCATCTTCGTTCTTTCTGCGTGAATACTTATCGCGGAAACGTATCTCTGATCATGCTCCGTCGACGTTTTCTGTTTTTTGCTCGCGACTAGAACGACAGTTGCCAGTTTCTCAGATTTGTCCGGAAATTATACCGTTCTTAAACTAATCTATCATGAAGAGTGTGGTCGACTTTGGATTAAAATGTATGTATCGCATCACACGAAATACATGAAATTGCTAATTTAAAAAAAGCACAGAGCGTCGGGCGAGAAGATTTCGAATTACAGAGCGTCCAGAATGTCAATTAGAATTACAGAGCGCGCGGAGCCGGTCACTTCAAATTATAGAGATAATTAACAAGTCGGCTTGGCGCTTAAAATTTGGAATTATCGAGGGGAACAAGATACATTGAAAATTTTCGAATGAAAGGGTTTTTTCGAGGGGATCAGCCACGCATATTCGGATCATAGAGCTTTTCGAATTAAAGGGTTTCGAACTACCGAGCGTGCAGTGTAGTTTAAAAATCGCATAGTAAAGAAAAGTTAAAAAAGTACCCAATATTTTTCAACGTAGATTTTACAAAAAAAGGGCAATTTAAGCACCTTCCTGGTTAAATTATGTTTCCACTAATGATAAATGTCCCATTAAAGTTTGTGATTCTTCTAATAATTGAGGCGGACTTTTTTCTAAAGGGAATCAATCGAATCGTGGTTTCTCGAACGAAAGAATAGAACTCCATTTCAAGGTTGCAAACTTAAAAAAAACAGTTCTGTATTTCACAAGAATATACCTGTTCAATTTTTGTTCAAATTGTGTCTGATTTTTGTTGGAGGTCAGAAGAAAAATCAGTGAAAGACTGCCCAAGATTCTCCTGGTGAATATGCAATTTGCAAGAAAAGTTTTCAACATTAAAATTTAGTTACGTTTTTTCGTGAGGGAAACGACAATATAGCAACGGAGAAATGAAAAAGTATAAAAAACTCGCCTTGAAGCACTATCATTGGTAGCACGATCATCTATCAGACAATTATCATCGAGTATTAGCACGCCTAGTTTGGCAACAACGGTTCGTTCCAGCTGGCTTCATTTATCATATTATTTCCGTCCATCGCTGACTTTCCTAATTTTCCATTCTTTTGCCGATATGCCTATATAATTCGAGAAAGTGACTCGGAACGATTCGTCGTCTCTCTGATGTAAGAGCGTATCTCAATTTCCACGTGAGCCCAATTCTCCGTATAATTCAATGTTTTTCAGGGCTCTGTGGTATTACAGATACGTCATTACGTCAGAGGATGTCCGCGATGACTGCTAATAAGCGGTTTTCCCGAGGGGGCGTGAACAGGTCAGCGAAGAAAAAACACACTCACTGTGACACGAGATAAACGTGACCACTTTCGCCCTTTCCGCGTGCTGTTGGCCAATCAATGCACTTTGCGCGCATACACAGAAGGAATATACTTCAGGACACAGTTCCTCGTCAAAGTTTCACGAAGAACATGACCAGTTTATTGGCGATTTTTAAAATTATTTTTTCCACAATTCCGACGGAGTTTTCTTTTCGCCTTCAATTGGAAGTGTATGCAAAGCGCATTCTTAGAGGTTTAAATAGTGGTATTCGTCCCCTTAACCCAAGTTAATGCAGTTATGTTGACAGTTTGACACACAGTAGCTCAAACCCACTTTAAACGAACCCTCGTCGTTTTCCCGAACCTAACTCGATTTCAATTTTGTAAATTTCCGAACGCGATCCGCGTATTTATATTCGTAAACATATGGGAATTGAAAATCCCACGAATTTTTCTACACCCGACTAAAGGTAAAATTCAGCAGAATTTTGGAAAGTTTTAAAGTAATTGAAAAACATTTCCACCGTGAAACTACCAGACCACGTATATCCAGACTTCCTACCAGACTTCACTTTTTAAATGGAAAAATAATCAGCGGCAATTCTTGAAATTTTTTGTGATTATTCTTTTCCTCTGTGCAAAGAAAACTCTGTGAAAATTTCAAGGAATGATATTGATTCGTTCTCCTTAAAAAATAAAATATATGTAGGAACGGAGATTTTTAAACACTGCAAATGAAATGCGTGGTCCGGTAGTTTTACCATCGATTTATTATTCAAATATTTTGAAGTTTTTATGGATGGCATTTTGCAAAAAGGAACCAGGAGCATTGCAATAATACCGAGATTGTGCAACTTCATCCTTTACAATAAAATTACTGAAATATTGAGAGAGAATGATATTTACATGGTACATTTTGTCTTAAATTTACAGTTTTTAGCGAGTAAAATAGAAACTGTTAATGAATAATCAGGTTTTTCTTCCAAGAAAAAAGAAATTGCACAATTTTAGCAACATTACATCGCTCCTGGTTCCTTTATGCAAAATGCAATAAATTTGATCTCGATTTTAAAGTCTCAAAATTTCGCTAATTTCGATTATTTCCATCCTCCATACTAATATTCTGCCGTGCTAAGGGAAAACGCCGTATGAACAATTGAGAGTTGCCAAGTTTCCGTCACTAAAATGTTAATTTTTGAGGAAATTTATGAATATTTTTGCCTGGAACTTTCAGGAACTTTGGGTGAAATTGCGAACAAAAATTATCCAAAAAATTGGAAGAAAAACATTCATATTTTTACGGAGAAAGCTCTGTTTTATCAATGGAAATTTGGCGACGCCTGAAGGTTCATACGGCGTTCTTCCTTAGCACGGCAGTATTCACTGACGTTGATAATGAGCTGGCAACCAGGAACACTGGACGAAGCGAGCCTTTGAGCCGTGGAAGTAGCACACACAAGTTGTGTGACACAAACGGGGGTAGGAAGCGAGTTATTGTCCGCGAAAGGCGAAAAAGGTTGACAAAAACCTCGCCCAGCGGAGGAGTGACCTGCCGCGCGCTCAAGTCGGGCGACTCGTAAAAAATGCAAAAGCTCTTACATTATCCATGAGGGATTAGGGAAAAGAGGTAAAATTCAAACACATTTTATCTATCCCCGCGGAGCTTTCCCTAAGAGGTCTCGCTCAAAGTGTGCCCCGTTCCCTGCCCCGCGCCCTTTTCACTTTTTTCTCTGTTTTGCGAGTATCGGGTCTCCGCAGTTGCCGCTTCTCCTTTTGATTTTCCCGAGGGGAAAATGACTCTTCTGCGTGATAACGAAAAAAGCAGTTGATGTCAAATTCTCAAAATCGAGTTTCCTTCAAAATTCGTCTGATCTTTT